ATGACTCCTACTCTGCATCATCGGCGGGTTTTTTATCACCTAGTCGGATGGCATGTTCAATTTGTTACTGAGGCTGAGTTTTCGGCTGTGTAATGGCTGCATATTGCGCAGAGCGGTGGAACTCGCAGGGAAGCTGTCTTGCTGATGGCTAGCTGTTTGTGACCGCGTGTTGTTGCTTTGATCCTGCATGTTTTCTCTAGGCATTTACGTTAAACGTTAGGTCTCCGTCCTTCCTCTTCTATTGTTCTTTATTCTGTAGGTGATTGTGATTGTAGGTCAGCGAAATATCAACTTAAATGGCTGACGTAGTGCTGTTTTGTTGGTTTTTGATTGGTTATATTCTCACCACTCAACGAATCCTCTGAGGTTCTTGATGCAGTAGCTCATGCGTCTTGCTGGTAAACTGGACGTCTCATATATTGGGACCAAGCTGCTGCTTGGGTCCAGGCGCCCTGACAGCATCCCGGCCTGCATACTCCGTTCGCGTTTACAAGTCCGTGAAACGTCATTGCAAATTACTGACATACGGCTGACACCTGGCTGCTATTTATCCATCGTCGTTGTATCTGTCGTCATATGATCTTTAGTAGTCGAAGACTGCTAGTGTATTTGGAGGTACTTGCTTAAATTTGTCCATTTTCCGCAACATAGCTATTTTCCGTCCCTTCAGACTATTGCGGGACTGTGCCCCTTCGCGCTGCATGTTGGTGCGTTCGCAGGGTCTGGATTCCAGTCCACTAACCGTCTCAAACCTGAACTCATTTACTCTGAATTGATCTCATCCGCATATAGAGGTCGTTGATTAGCAACACCTTTTCTGCTTACGTGTTGAGCTGCATTTATATTTTTGGTAGGACTTTCCCTTAGGAGGCTCAAAGAGTTCTTGTGTGTACTTTCGGGATGTAAACTTGTGTTGATCATTATATACGGCTCCGATCACATTTGAATTCTAGGCGTCTTTTGTGGATGTCTGGTTAAAGCACGTGGATGTTTTCATTAGCGTTTTATAACATTTTGTTGGTTCATCCCAGCTGCTCACAAGCAACATTAGTTTAACCCCAATGCGTAAGAGCATCAGACGATCGTTTCGCCCTGTTGGCGCTCGTTAGTAGTGCGCATTCCATCGGTCTCCAGCTGGGGACACTAGCAGCTTATGCCACTGTGTCATGGGGGACCGAGGCAGACTGTCCGAACTTGCAAGCGTTAGCGTTTTAACAATACTTGCAGTGTATATCGATCGGGAAGTGGTTGTCCTAACTTTGAGGATTTGAATTTTCGAAATGCACTTGTGGCGTATTTTTATCTTAGGTAATCAGACTTCAAGTAACATTTTTTGTCCTCCCCTAAACTGGCGTCACTTGCTTCCATCAGAAGTGTGCTTACCACCTGACGGTATACACTGCTTCGGCTTACGGATGTGAGTGTGGAATTGATTTCATCGTGACAAAATGCACCGAGAGTCACAAGAAAGCTGTTTTCCTACCGCTGTTTATTCATACAATAGCCATCCCGTGGTGACCGAACGGTGTTGATAGTGTAATTACTTTATTCCTGAATGCTTATTTGTGTGCCTCTTATCCCTCTTCATCATCAGCATATTCAACTTTTTTCCTTGCACTGCTTGTGTGATAGCAATCAGTAATAGAAGCGCACCGATGTGCTTTTATCGTTTTTGATGACTCTATCACGGCATCCGCCAAATAGGCGTGGAAGATTATTAGTAACCCCCGTGCCAAGGGTGGTTTAAAAAGTCAACTTGTTGTGCCATCTCGTACCCAACATTTTGTGGCTGTCGACCAACTCTATCAATCGAATGGGCATGTTCGTTGTCGATCGCTTATGCGCGACGTACTTTTTGCTGCAGTTGTTGAAGTGCGTTATATTAACCAAGGCAACATCTCTTCGACCAGGCGCTTGAACAGCGTCTGCTAATGTTTTTTTTGTTAGTCTTCTCAGTCTGAGCCTGATTTTTATTTTTGTAGAGTAAAGCAGCTACTCCTCGCTCTTGTGTGGAGCTACTTGCATTTGCGTTTGATTGATTATTACTATTTGCTTTTCTATTGTGCGCCACATGACAGCTTGAGCTTATTTTGGGTGCTTTGTTAATCATGTACTTTGTTAATCTGTCAGGATGACACTGTGCAGAGCTCACAGATGAGGCAACCTTTGAGTCTCTATATTCTGAGACCAAAGCCAGAGCCCACAGATGCATACTCTCCAAACAAGAAAATGACTGGTGCCTTCCCGGATCCTCTTGAGAATAACAAACTGCATTCCAACGCTCAGTGTTCTTCCGATCAGGTATTTAAACCTGAGCAATGCACTCCTGTGAGTTCCTCGGACGAACGTTGCAGATCCACAATTAGAGCAGCGAAGCCACGTTACGTTCCTGATCAAGGTAACAGTTAACAGCATGTACACGCATACACAGGTATACATGTACTTTCTTGTTTAACTAATTGTTCGATTTATGGAGTCCCACTGCATAAAGGTAAAGGCAAGAGGACAGAAGAAACGCAGCCAGTGGAGTAAAGTTCCACGGTGCGACTTTCTGCCTGCCCACTTTGTGCTCACAGTTAGACATGCTCGTGTTCCTATGGTCTGATAACACTTTAGCTTCCACTTGTGTTATGGAATTTGGCAGACAAATACGTGCGTTCAGCAGTAGGATATGTATCGATGCAGTGGGCAGAAGCAGCAGTTTATGCACCGACCCACCGAACATATAAGTCGAGTGGATGGAGGCAAGTGTGAACGCACAGTTTGGATTAGTTGAACAGGAATTAGTGAAAATGTATGCAAAAGATGGGGATTATATCTCTGGTCGCCGAAGTGTTCTCTGCTGGAAAAGCTGATCCGATCTTTGATCGGACCGAGAAGACCACCACTAACTTACAGAGAAATCTCACCGGGTTCTCAGCGGATAAGATGCTTACTGTGTATTTGCTGGTCAATCGAAACCACCCTCCCTAGGTAGCAGAAGCGGGAGATGATTTCCAATACTTAATTACCAATTGCTACTTTTTGGCTCCATCGCAGATTGTATTTCTGGTGAAGGCTGAAAGAGATACACAATTTTCCTCGTGTTGATAATGACCCCGTATTTTACGGTTTTCGCAGCCAAAGCACTAAACATGTGCTGCGACTCATCCGCGCTGTGTTCTAACAACGCACAGTCGTCAGCGAACAGCAACTTACGGATAGCTGTCTCACGGACTAGGTTTCTTGCACCGAAACGACGGGTGTTCAGCAACCCACCATAAATACGGTGCTCCACACCAACACCGTAAGCACAAGAGACATCAAAGGCACAGTACATCATGGCATGAAGATAGATAATAAACAGAGCAAGAGCTACGACATCACCTTGAAGTCTCCTTGCTTACCCATTAGGAGTTCAATGACTTTGAAGTCAACACAGATGTTCCAACAGTAGTTATCGTAGTTCAGTGCAGCGAATATCTGTTGCATACTTTCCTATGTCTCCTTTATATTGATGGCATGCAACAGAGGCAGAGTTGGATACACATTTCCATTGTGCAACAGTATAGCCTTAGGACTACTCTTTTACGAGTCAATGAACAAACGCCATTCATCAATGATACCCATCACGCCATGCTCCTTCATCCATACTTCCGCGTCGGAACAGAAACAATAGGTTTCTCTCATGTCATAGAAACCGGATAGTTTAACACGTCGCTTTCTATGTTTGCAGCAAGTAAGTGCTACTGCTGTAGCCGAGATGCCAGCAATTCGACATTGTATTTAGCACCAGGTCATTCAGCTCTGAATGTTTACTGATATCTGGGTTGACAACATCAGCTTCAAATTTTTCACAGATGTCTCAATCAGGAGAAGTTAACTTGGTGGAAGCACTACTCATCATCAGTGGCATCTTCACTAAAGACACTGGAATGGGTAAAGTGCAGTCATGTATAACAGATCGAGTAGCTGATGGACGATCGGGGTAATGGATTTCGTACTTGTTTCGGTTGGAGATTCCAATGACACTGGTTAGACAGAAACAGCAGTTTGCCGTGTGATCCTTCGACTCCCTCTACACCATGGGGATTGCAATGGGCATCTTGCCTTTGCCCTTGAGCCACTGAGTCAGATGGAGATTGCACGACAAACAGAACGCTGCCTTGAATGTCGCCACTTGTAACAGGAGTGCGATTTAATGTGTGATTACCTTTCTTGACTGCTTGGGTCTCACCGGTAAAGTAGCAGGGACAACAAGAAGTAGACGTTCAGCAATGCCATACCCTGCTAGAGTCGTCAAAAGCCTACCATGGGGCACTTGGTCAAAGGCCTTTTGCATGTCAAGGTATATGCTAATATAAGCTTTACCACGGTCTACTGATCTTGTGATGTGACTTAATAAGTATAGTTGGCAAGACTGACAAGAATGCTGTTTGATGAAGCCATTTTGTGATTGGCTGATTGGGTTCCTTGTTATTAGATTCTAGGAAGTCGTAGCCTTTATAAGCCTCTCCGTAACTTTTAGAATTACGGAAGTATTGCCCATCGGGCGGTAATTTGCAACATCCCGTTTTGAGCCTTTTTAAAACCTGGTACAACTTCGGTGTGTTTCCAGTGATGCGGGACAGTGCAGATCTTTATTGACAAGTTAAATGTCGTGCAAAAGAATGAGGATATTCGGACCACCGTATTTCAGTAACGCTGATTGAATGCCAACAGAACCACCATTAAAGAACGACTTCATGGCCCCAAGCGATTTCTTTATTTTTGCTGTAGTCAGTTGCATAATGAAAACCAGAAGAATGGCGTCCAAGCATTGTGAGGAGACATAGAGCGGATCACGGCAAGTTGGTGATTTACCTGTTGTTGATGATCATGTTTCTTGTCCTGGATCGCACTCTAGTCGTAATGGTAGTCATGTACAGGTTTCCGTTAATGCGCGCAATGCTTTAAAACTTGCTGAGCTTAAGAAAAGACAAGCCGATACGGAGCTAGAATTAGCTAAGTTGCGTTTGGAAATGGAGGAAGAGGTAGTTGCTCAGGAACATCTCCCTACTGTAAGTCACGTGCCCAAGGGTGGGGAAGAGCAGCTGAGCGGGTTTCTAAAGGACTGTCAAAAGATGGCGCCTCATACAGTAGATCCTGCGTCATATCCCCAATCTTCTCTGGCAGTTTGTTATCCTTTCGCAGAACTTCCGAAGGTGGAGTTAGAATATTTTGACGGTGACCCATCGAGCTACTGGAGATTTATCAAGCAGTTTGAATATTTTGTTGAGAACCGCGTGATTGATAACGGTCAGCGCTTGTTATATCTTGTGTATTATTGCAGAGGGCGCGCCAACGAAGCGATTCGTGAGTGTACAATGCTCCCGCCTGAGCGGGCTTATGATAGAGCTCGTTGTATTCTTCGTGATCTCTTTGGGCAAAATCATGTAGTGGCACGGTCACTGATCGACGGTTTGCTTACAGGTTTGAAACCCATGGCTGATGACTCCGAAGCTTTATCCCGATTGTCGTTGAAAATGGAAAGCTGTTATGTGGCACTGTCTCAGATGAACTATATGGCCGACCTAGATTCCATAGCCACTATTGAGAGGATAGTTCGCTTCTTACCTAGCGCTCTGCAATCTCGATGGGCGAGAGTGGCTGATTCTATCGTTCAGGAAAAGCGGGAAGTCAGATTTTGTGATTTGGCAGCCTTTGTTGCAACGGAGTCTAGGGTTGCACGTAGCAGATTTGGTCAGATAGCGAATGCCAATGTGGCACGAAGTCAGCTTGCTATGCATCCACCTCGATTAGCCGATAAAGGAAAGCGTCGGAACCTTTGTCTCTACACTACAGCAAAGAGGACCAACAGAGTTACTTGCATTATTTGTGACGGCGAACATGATGTGGAGTCTTGCACGAAATTTCTAGCCATGGATGTTCCAGGCCGCTGGGAACTGATCAGAGCTAAGGCTGCTTGTTACAACTGTCTAGGGTCCGGTCACCGCTCCGCAACTTGTCGAAACCGGAAGGGATGCAACGTGTCTACTTTAATGGGCGGCATCACTCGTTGTTACATCATGACAAAGATCCTAATCCTTCACGCGATGAAAATAGCAACTGTAATGTTACCTCTACTGCTCCAGGCAGAGTTTCTTTGGGCGTTGTGCCCGTACGTTTGGATGGTCCAGTACGGTCTATTGAAACGTATGCTTTGTTGGATAGTGGATCGGATGTGACCCTAGTTCAAGAGGACCTTCTATTGGAGGCGGGCGTAAAGGTTAGCCGCACTTCTTTAACGATGCAGACCGTGAGTGGCCTCACCTCCTTGGAAGCTGGCCTAGCCAAGTTTCGCTTGACTGCCCTGAGAGGCCCTGAGTATGTTACAGTTGAACGCGCTTATTGTTTGAAGCGATTGCCATTACGTCCAGTTGCATGCACTAATGGCCAGTTGGGGCGTCACTGGCCGCACTTGTCTGACATCCAGTTCGATGCTCTGGCTGATACCCGAGTTCGAATATTGATAGGAGCCGATGTACCAGAAGCACATTGGCAGCTTGAACGCCGTGCTTATGGTCGGAAGCGCCCGTTCGCTGCTAGAACACCCCTAGGGTGGATATTGCTGGGGCCCGTGAACACGAGCCCTGAGGGTTGCGTTTCGGTGCATTGTGTGCAAGAGGAGACAACTTCGATCGAGACACAGCTTAAAATGTTATACGACGGTGGATTTGAGAGTGCTGGTTCGAGTCACCGTTCCCTTTCGATGGAAGATAAGGCAGCATTAGAAATCGCTGAGAATTCCGTGCGGCTCGTTGAGGGGCACTTCGAGGTGGCCCTCCCGTGGAGAAAGCGTCAGATGATAGTTCCTAATAACTTCGTGTCTGCTCTCCATAGATTACATTGTTTGAGTCGACGACTGATAAACGACCCGACAATGTGTGAAAGGTACATGGCTGCGTTGGAGACGAGCATTGCAAAGGGCTACGCCGCGCTAGTACCAAGTGAGCATTTACAACCTAGCTACACACCGAGATGGTATTTACCGCATCATGCCGTTAGTAATCCGAAGAAACCAGAAAAATTAAGAGTGGTCTTCGATTGCGCAGCCAAGCACAAAGGCAGTAAAGTTAATAGCTGAGTTACCGGGGTTAGTTAGCAGGACGTTGGGGGTTGTCTTGGGATTCCAAGCAGGATGTATTTCTTTTCCACTTTGCAGTATCCGAAGGTCCAAACACGAGGAGAGGAATCTTGTCCGTTGTGTCATCTATCTTCGATCCTTTGGGTATGATAGCCCCACTGATCATGCCGGTGAAGCTATTGCTGCAACAGTTGTGTCGAGATAAGGTAGGCTGGGACGAGTTGATTACCGGTGATAGCGAGGCGGCCTGGCATACCGGGATAAGAATGACCAAGGCGTTGGGTTTCCTGAAAATTCCCCGTTGCATTCGTAATGGCACTGAGAGTTTAGGACCTCCACAATTGCATATATTTTGCGATGCTTCTGAAACGGGATACGGGGCGGTGGCTTACGCCAGGTTCCGCCTTAAGGGCAACAGACGCTGCGCTTTGTTATACTCGAAGTCAAGAGTGGCTCCTTTGAAGACTGTCTCTATTCCGCGGTAGAATTAACTGCGGCTGTGCTCGCCACACGTGTATTTGAGGATGTGACCGAGAGAGCCCAGCTGGAATTTGAGAACGTCTGGTTCTGGACGGATTCCACAACAGTCTTGTACTACATTAATGATACATCGAAGCGATTCAGTACCTTTGTCTCAAATCGATTATCGGTAATTCATGAGTTGACGGACCCTAGCCAATGGAAGCATGTCATGTCTGGTAGTAACCCAGCTGATATACTCTCAAGAGGTAGCTATTCTTCTGCAAGTTTAGAGAGCTGGTTCCATGGGCCAGATTTCTTACTGAGCGATAACGACGAATGGCCAGATAAGTGTTTGAATTCCGAACCGCATGACATAGAATTAAAGCGTGTGAAGGTCCAGGTGAACATGGTGGCATGCCAATCCTCCTTGTCAATCTTAATCCGAAGATATTCCGATTGGTTCAAGTTGTTGAAGTCAGTTGTGTGGCTAACCCGATTCAAAAGGTACCTGAAGGCTCGCGCATATGATTCTGATATCGGCCCACAGTATATCAGTTTGATTACTCTCCACGAACTCAAAGGGGCAGCATTTGATGTCATTAGATTGGCACAGAATGAAGTTTGCGGTGATGAAATAAAACAAATGGAAGAGACGAAGGAAGGAATAATGCCACCTAAAAGAAAGCCACGGCAAGTAAATTATCTCACAGCCTTGTTCTTGAAAAGATGGGTTAGAGAGTATCTACCTCTTTTGAATTGTAGAGAGAAATGGCTAAATCCGTGTCGGAATTTCAAACCCGGGGATGTGGTTTTAGTTGTTTCCGAAACTGTTTCACGCAACATGTGGCCTTTGGGAGTAGTTGAAAGCTGTGTCACGTCCCAAGATGGTCTCGTAAGAACAGTGAACGTCAGGACGAAGGATGGTTTATTGAAGAGGGATGTGCGAAAGGTTTGTTTGTTAGAAGGTAGTCGACTAGAAGGGGGCGTAGTTCCGGCTACTGGCTCTCCGCAGGCGGGAGGCGGATTTTCGAATCTGCCGCTCCAGGGAGGACCGCTGTGAGTCCAGCAGCCGAAGTGGGAGGTGCAGGCGTACCGGTGTAAGTCCTGTATCCTCCCAGCGTGGATGGAGCGGGGGATAGGCGATCCAGGCTAGAACATGTCTTCAACAATTTGAAAATCCTGGTCAGATTTTCGCGGGGGAGTGTGGGGGTGGGCGTCCTCGCGGTATACTCAGCCCGCGCGCGACTGGTGGTGGTCGCGCGGCAGCGAAGCGCCGTTACGGCGTATAAGCTGACACCTTTCTTTCTTTCTGTAGTCAAATCTGCTGTCCACAACAAGCCCTATGTAAGCCTTTTTGACGGGATGGTGTAATGGACTAATGAAAATACCCGTTGAAAAGATTACTAATGACTACAGGATCATCTGTTGACACGGAGGTAGAGGTAGCAATGGATGTGATACAGTCGTTTCTGTATCCTCCTCTTCTTCTGAGAAGCTTTACAAACTTTTTCGGCTTATTTGAGTCTGCCAAAGCTCGATGTCCTTCGTAACACCGTCTCAGCTCGACCAGATTTTAACTTGCGGATTACTTTATCAATCTGAGATAGTATGATGAAGTCAGGAGATTTCTTATAACAACCGACCTGTTTGCTGATTTTTTGCTTGGCAAGGGTGTTGGCGCGAACATTCGCTGTAGTGTTGGGGTGTTTCTTTTTTGGAATTGGAGCGATAGTGTCTAAGCGTTGGCTTGTATTATGATAAACGGTTTCAGCGACATCTCGGTCGCATGTGAGGAAGTATCTATCCCACTGCATTGACCTTATTAGCATTGCGAACGTGTCCCAGTTGATCGAACGGTATGGACGTTAGTATATATCAATGCACTTGGCTTTGGATGCTTGTGCGGGCATAGTGCAACATTATGAACACCGCCCGGAAATTTGTCCAGGATGTTGACATTACCATCGATCTAGGATGTTGTCATTTTGTGTTGGCTACGAAACATGCTGTGACCAGTCTTGCGAGCAAATTGTTGATACCAACTCATACAACCTAG